GGCTAGCCTCAAACTTTAAGCAATTCTGTTTTAGCTTCCTAAGGGATCACAGGAATGAGCCATCATGCCCAGCTTCCAAGGAGTTGTTGTTTGAGACAATACACAGTTGTTTGAGCCTCACAAGGCTCAGATTGACCTTGAGGTGATCTTTGTTTATACCTCCCAAGTACTGGAATTTCAGGGCCCACCACCATGCCTGGCTGAGATTGTATTATTCAAAGAACTGAGCAGGGAACAGCCACACGCCCACCATAGATTCCACAGTGAGTAGATGCTCGGTTTCTCACATCAGCCTGCCTGTCCTTCCCTTACCCCACCCACCAATCCACAGGATTTTGTGACCTATTTCAATCAAGTGACAAACATCTGTGCACATCCTCCTTGCATACCCTGGGGCATTTCATCAACTAAAGGCCAAGATTTGTTTTATTCATAAATCCTTTGTTTAAAAAAAAAACAAAAAACAAAAACCTCACAGAATTCTTTCCTAGTGATAACCAGGGAGAATGGGTCAGAGCTGGAGTCTGTTAGTTGACCTTAGATTAAGACTCCTACTCCTAGGGCTGGAGAGTTGGCTCAGCTGTTAAGAGCACTGACTGCTCTTGCAGAGGACCAGGTTCGATTCCCAGCACCCACATGGCAGCTACGAACCGTCCTTAACTCCAGTTCCAGGGGAATCTGAAGCCCTCTTCTGACCTCTGCGGCATTGCACAACACGTGTGCACTCACATACATGCAGGCAATCCATTCATACACATAAAATAAAAATAAAAAAATATTTTCTAAAAAAAGACTCCTACTCCTCATCTGAGGGACTGATGGTCGAAAGACACCTGAGAAAGCTCTCTGTGCCAGGTGAGCATGGTGTCCTGGCAGAACCTTTAGCCAGCTGTGGGTCTTGGGCAGGTTGCATCACCTGTCTCAAGCCTCAGTTTCTTCGTCTCTGGAATGGGTTCAAGGAAAGCAACTACTTCTTTAGATGACCCACATGCCTGAATGTACGTGTATGGTGCCTGAACATAATGAAAAAGCAGCTACTGGTGTCCAAATATGGCACTGTATGGGTGCCCTTCTAGAATAAACCCCTTTTCTTGGTTCCTGGCAACCAGGAGGATTGTTTTGTTTTGTTTTGCCTGATGTGTCTGGGAGCTGGCAAACAGGGGAGTGTGAGGCCAAGGCCATCCCTCCTCTCCTCTCATCTTTGTCCTCTCTGAGGCAGGTGACAGGAAAGTCCCTTCCAAAAGTCTTGGATCACGCTAGGAAGTGTGAGCCCTAAAAGAGCTGCACAAAGAGGAACTCTGGGGAGCTGGATTGAAGGGTGATAGCAATGACTTGAAGGGGAGGTTCACCCACCATGTGTGTCCACAGACCCCTTCTGTCGGCTGCGATAGTAAATTTTTGGGGACTCCTGGAGTTGGTGCAACATTTTGCATGTGGGTCCCAGGAGCCGCCCATGGTTAATACACAAGCCCTGGGGCCCAGAGGTAGAATCTTCATAATTTAGCCTTATTTTAGAGTTGGATTCATTGCTGATAGTCTTTCTTTCTTTTTCTTTCTTTCTCTTTTTCTTTCTTTCTTTCTTTCTTTCTTTCTTTCTTTCTTTCTTTCTTTCTCTCTCTCTCTCT